AAACTGGAGGTTTCCTAAAACCCTAAGTCTCAGTCTTATTTAAAATTGATTCCGACAACCCTGAGGCTAAGCCTCAAAAGCCAGAAACCCAAAGTCCCCCCAAGACCCTGAACGCCCTGAACCCTTTAACACCCTACAGCTTAGCTTTTCATGTAAAACCTGCAGCACCCTCAACTTCTCTTGGCCAGGCACGCTTCGAGAACCTCGTGCAAAAAGATGGTGGTTCCGTTGCCTCCTTATGTGCAGCGAAACACAGGCCAATCTTCTTCGGATGCTTCGGTGTATGTAGGCCAGTGTACTGAGCCCCTTCAAAACAACATGTGGTTTTCAGCAGTGCTGCAAGTTTGACTGTAGACGACTTGGCTCATTCGTTTTGCAGTGAATTCAACTTTATAATTATCACAGTATCATATGTTCGTCATGGCGGAGCATACAGTAATACAGCATTGTCAGTGGAAGCTCCGGTCATCGAGGGTCCATGCCGCCTGCCTCGGGTGATCCTCGATTCGACGGTCTGTGGAAGGCATGCACTGATGCCATTGAGCATCTTAACAGGCTCCAGCATGAGTTCGACTTGCTGAGCTCCAGGGTGCATCGTTTCAAAGGCGAGATGTTAGAAGCACTGACCGACCTCCATTGGAGGCTGGACTCGATTTCTGCCCGGGCTATGGATGACTCGGGCGGGGATGATGATGTGCAGGAGACAGACATTTGTCTAGAATCAATGGACTGAGCCGCTTGGACTCGGTGCTGCCATTCTTCTGGGGCCTCCGCTGCGAAAGCCTACCCGCCACGTCTGGTTTCTGTTGGGCCCAGTCATCGGCCCTGATATCTGGTTTGCCAGGGCAAAGGTCCCGCTCTACGAAATGCCCATTGCCATCGTCATTATAAGCCTGAAAAATGATTCCGCTTCAGTCTGTGGTCAGCACAAACAATCCCATCCTATGTAACAGTGAGCCCCATAAATCTTAATACAGTGACCTTTGAAACCGAGCTCAGCTCTAGAACCCATCAAAGTCGAAGAGAACTGACTAACCTGGCAGATACGAAAGCCTTCGGCGTCCGCTTGGCCGCTCTGTGCGACATTTCGCTGCATTGTTGATTGTGGCTGAGCAGATTGCACTGGAGAGGCGGCAAAAGGCACCATAGGAATAAATAGCTTTAGACTCAGACCTCTTGTCTTCCGCAACCCGCGCAATAACCCCAAACTTTAAATCCCAAACATAATACCCTAAGCCCTAAACCCTAAA